AAGTTATTTGAATACAATCCAATATGATGAAATAAATATAACTAAAATAGTCAAATTTTCACTTTTTGTACAAATGCAATCACTAATTCATCATTGTGTTTGTGCTTTTTTTTGAGAAAAAAGTGTTATTCTATTAAGTGTAATTAGAAATTTAGTATAAATGTATTAGTAAATTTAGTATAACTATTTAATAAATTCTATTAGTAGACATGTATAATTATTCATATAATTGATAATATCAATTATATTACATAAACTAATATACATTATATAATACATCTAACTAATAATATCATTATCATAAGTTTATAACTAATTAACTTACATATAATATATAGTCATTATATATATATATATATATTTTTTTTTTTTTGTGGGTGGCGGGGCGGGGGATGGGGCGGGGGTATACTCCCCCGCCCCGTTTCTAAGCGGGGGGAAAAAATTACCCCCCGCCCCCGCCCCACCCCCCGCCCCAACCCCCGCCCCGTGAGCCCCCCGCGCGGGCACCCGCCCCCATTGCCATCCCTATATGCATTGCCTTTGCCTTTGTACACTTCAAAGCTATACATGTAGCAACATTGGTAGATGTGTTCATTGCTAATTGTTCTACAATTGAAATTTTGTAGCCCTTGATCAAATTACAGCCTTGTCATTTTAGTTGAACATCGTGGGAGCATTAAACATAATTACAACAAATAGGGAAAAGTAAAGCAAAAAACCCTGGACAATGAAATTGAAAAAACTAACTGTAAAGCCGTGGTGCTGTAGATAGGAATAGAAATAGAAATAGATATAGAATGAACATAGACAAATGAAAAGATCGAAAGATGGGATATTGTCACAAAAGAAACACCTGTTTAAGATAATGAGCCTGTCTCCCCTAAAATTACATCAGTCCTTTTTTTTTTTGTATTAGAAAAAATTTTGGATGGATTCAACTCCAGTCACCATTACAGGTCAGCGCATACCTTCAGAGATTTTTATGAATTGTCCACCAATATAGCCCTCATATCGACAACGAAAACATACGATCTTTTGTGAAGAAGTGACCTATCTTTACTAACTGAGCACACCAGTCTAGTGGAATTTATTTTCCATCTTTCAATTTTACTCTATGTGCATGGTTGTGCTTATGGTCCTTGAAGAATTTACTTGACTATTGTATGGATATGCACCATATAATTTACACATTTTAGTGAGTGATCATCTCATTTTTATGCATCAATTAACTGATGATATAGTCTCCAAAACCAACGGTTAACATTGATGCACAAAAGCACTTAAATTTGACTATAATATTAGGTTGATGAGTTAAAGTCTTTAGAGACTATGATTGCCCTGTACAACAACAAACCAATTGTTTTGTAACTTTTCTTGCTATTAGTCATTTTTGGTGATAGATATGCATCTTATTTGAGACTAGCCAAGATCTACCATATTCACTTAATTAAGCAGCCGTAAAGCATCATTGGGAAGCGGCCAAAACAGAAGGGCTTTTGTACATTATTGTCTTCCACTAGTAAAAGAAATGGTTGCTTCATTCAAAAACTATACCACACTTACTGTTGAAGTTAACTTTGTTTTCGATGACAATTTCATAACTCGAAAATATGTCGCTAAAATCTTTCTTGTGCTGTTTGGTTTGACCATGTGCTTTTAATCTTTTGATGACACTTTCCCTAGTTGGAGGACTTCTAGCGTTTGTCTTCTGATAATAAAATTACTTTAACTCTCGATTGTGGATTAATACAACAACTTATCAACTATAGCTAACACACGCCTAAAAGAAGAAATGATTAACTAAAATTAGACCAAATTTACAACTTATAAGACCTGAATCGAGGATCTTTAAACAACAATATTAAAGACTTTAACATCTAAAAATTTTGTGTACCTCATGAATAATCATCTAAGTTGAGTATAATTAGGGGTGCAAACGAGTTTAATCAAATCGAATACCCTAATGTTCAAACTTGATTGATTGTTTTAACAAATTTAAAATTTTGTTCAAAATTAACTTGTTTATTTACCGAATCAAATTTGAACGAGTTTCTTATTGAATTTAAAAGTAATCAAACATAAAATGCTGTTCAAGTTGGCTTTGATTCGTTAGTGAATCAAGTTCGAATGAGTGCTTACTAAGCCAAGCTCGATTCGAATATCGAATAGTTTGGTTCATCTTTCAACTCCAAGTATAATTATGTCAATATTTGTACAAAAATTTGTGCTAAAGCATAAAATTAAACCAAAAAAATTAATATACTGTTACAGAAAATCAAACTATCAATGGCTAGCTTCTCTTCCAATAATAGCACTACAACTTAAGAAAGTGGCATGCTGTTTATGTTTTCCTATAAGGCAATTTTAACTTGTGGAGAAATTAAAGGGGACGGTTAACAAAGCATAAGTGTACGTTACAGGGTATTGTAATTGTAAATTGGTCATGGTCTTGCATGGAAGCATTCCCAAAGAGAATCGAATCATTCCCCTTTCTTTTTGCTTTTTCGCAGTTAGCTACAGCTCTCTTTAACATTCCCCAAGAAAATGGTGGGTGATACCTAATGGGTATTTGCCATTTTTACTTAAATTTTTTAAATTCTCTTTTCCCCCAAGTTCCATGTCTTGGAGAATGGTGTGCTGATGGTTCTCTTTACACCTAGAGACAGAGAAAGAAAGAAAGATTCATTCAAAACAAGAATGAAAGAATCATAAGGGAAAAAGAAAAAATTGTGACAGCAAAAAAGCCATGGCAACATAGAAGAAAAAGGGTAGATATAAGAAAAGATGGTCAAATTAGACCTCGAAGACTTCTCTCCCATCATCAGCTTCGACTATCTTTATCGAAACTCTTCACATTTTTCACTTTCTTTTATTCTTACGTTACTCAAAAATTACAAATTATCTATTTCAAATTGTTGTCTATCAAATAAAATAGTCACCTCTATCTCTTCAAAATCTTTTTGTACAATGACCATGTGATATTTGCAAAATCATAATACTGACGTTCATAGAAATTGTAGCCATGCAACAACTTTAATATACGGCTTCGGTTTCAGCTTCAGATACAGCTATTTTTATCAAATCTGACACGCACGAGTGGCTCTCTTCTATATTTGAGCCGCCCCCCTAGCCATTCCAGTAGAAAATAGACAAGAAAAGAAAAGAAAACCCGAAAATTATTGTTTGTCAAATAAATTAATCCAAAACCACAATGTTGAAAACTAACGCAATTCAAAAAGAAAAAATTTTTTTTTGGCTAAGTTTAATATCATGGTGCATTTGATATCCGATAATGTGATAAAACAGGAAATTTAAATGAGTGAGATTAATTTAATAGTTGGTTGTTAAGAGGGCCATCAATTTTTGATTGCTCTACATATATGGCATTTCAAAAGGGTAAGCTTCATCTATATATATTTTTTGAAGTCAAGATTTTGCCACAGGAACCTTTTGGCTTGCTATGAATATGGGCTTCAAGTACATCACGGGAATATTCAAAAAAAAAAATTTAATCACCATTTCCTTTGATATGGTGACTAGCGTCTGTGGGTCTCATGGTATATTATTGAAAGGGAGACATGACTCTTCTTTGATTAATTTTGGGATAACAATAACATGTGGGGTCATTACAAAAGATTTAAATTCTCAGAATATTCATATTGTCTGATGAGAAATATGGAGATTTATTCTTACTTATCCAATCTTGAATGTAGATGCAATTTTGTGTGTGCCATGTGGCACTTTATCTTGGTTTGTTTGCCTATACCAGTCTTGGAAAACCTTCAACAAACAAAATTGCTATAGCACAAGGTTTTGTCTAAAATAATCTCAGAGTTGATCGGTCATCCCATGCCCCTAAAAAAGATTGAAAGGAAACAAAGCACTCTTTATTCTAATTTTTTTTGTATAGCCCTGAAATCAATGGCTACTGTTTAGATGAATATGTTCATGTCAGAAAATAGTCAATTCATGGTTTTTGAATATTATTTACAGGTATCTGGTTTGTACAATCTGTATAAAAGTAAACAAACAGTGGAGTGCTTTCTAAGTTGCCCCTTCTCTTGTCGCCCTTCACTTTTCTAGATTAAATTTAATCTTGTGCAAAGGCTTTCTTGTGAATCAACATAACACCAGATTATCTTACCCTCTTTAGCCATTAGCTTTAAGGAAATAAAGACAATGGGAGTTATAATATTCAATTGCATGATCACAAATTGATTTCAGACACCTGCATAATGGTTGTCTGACTAGTGCTATTAAACCAGTTAGAAATGTCATGATAAGAGTGAATATGAATTTTCAAAGAGGATTTCTTTGAATGGTGCATTAGGGTATTTGTTAATACATTTAAATTATATCTGATTTATCTGATTTATCATATATTTACAATTATTTCACCCTCTGCATTTAGACAATTTTTTGAATTAATTTTAGTTTTTTAAAAAAATTAACCTTTTTTTGGCGAGTGCGCTACAATCAATAAGAGTAAATATGAATTATGCAAATGATTTAGAAAGCTTTTGTCTCAGTTCAAATTTAGCCGTGAGTACTACAGTTAAATCATTCCCGAAATAACATTAGAAATTAGTTGAAAATCATTTACGTACATCGTTGCATGCGCATCCCTTCATACACAGAACACATACAAATTATATATATCGTCGCAACAAAACATGCATAAAAAAACCGTATTTTTGGGCCTTAGACAGGAATTTGTTGGCATGTGTTGATGCACTTCCCACCTCTAGAAGCCTTAAAAGAAGCTACATATAGATGCTTTATCAAATTTCACAATATTTTGTATCTTTGGAATCCTACCTTAGTTTTTCTTTATCTGCTTTTTCTCTTTTGCTTATTTCTATATTTTTGTGATTCCATTGTTGAAGGACACAAGTGAAGAATATGAAAAAGAATACCCCTAGTTAGTCCTCAGCTGCCTCATCTCCTCGATTATCGAGGCTTAGCCAGTATATAAAGCATAACCATCCATTACAAAATTCGCAAGTTCCCTGAACAACCTCTCATTCTTCCACAACAATTCTGTTCAGCTTATCTAAATTTTCTTGAGGTCTGTCCAATTTTCATTCATGCAATATTTCATGCTTTCTTTGCTAGTTATATTGTTATAGGAGTGATCTTTATCTTTTCTTTTCCAGTTCTATAGATTTATATATATGTTTAACACTTTATCTTGAATATGAAACATTCAGTAAAGAATATGAGCAGGCCAGGAGATTGGAACTGCAGGTCATGCCAATACCTGAACTTCCAGAGGAGGGATTCATGCCAGAGATGTGGAGATCCACGACCTGGTGAAAGAGGTGGTGATTTTATGGGAAGAGGGAATTCATCATTTGGGTTTTCATCAGGCCCTGATGTAAGGCCTGGAGACTGGTACTGCAGCTTTGGAACCTGTGGTGCACACAACTTTGCCAGCCGCTCCAGCTGCTTCAAGTGTGGTGCACTGAAAGATGAATCCTCCGGTGGTGGCTTCGATGGTGATCACATGCCTCGACAGAGAGGTTTTGGGTTTGGTGGTGGAAGTAGTGGAGGGCGCTCTGGATGGAAATCTGGTGACTGGATTTGCACCAGGTAGCTTGTGTTGCAATTTGCATGTTAAAAATGATGCAAAAGCACATTTACCTAAACCAAGAAAAAAAAGAAAAAGAAAATGAAGACAGGGTTCAGTTTTTGTTTTTGTAGAACATAGCTTGTTTGATGCTTTTTTGCCTGAGATCTTCTTAAGAAGACACTAAACAGCAGGATGCCTAAACAATTACTTAGTTTTTGGTGCAAGTCCTATTTATTTTTCATAATTTCTTGATTAACTGTATTGGCTTTTTTTTCTGTTCTTTTTTCTTTGGCATGTACCAGATGCAGTATTTCGAAAAAAAAAAAAAGCCCAAGATAAATGCTTCGAGAAATTTTGTTTTTGAATTTTAGTTTGGTCATCCGGAACCTAAGTTCTTTCTACACCATTCTTATATAACACTACCCTACCAAATATTTAGAAAGGTCAAAAGCTTGCCATGTCTCTGTTAGCTTGCGGCATGCACGTACGAAGGAATGATATGCAATTACCTAAAGGGTACTTAGGGATTCCTGTGCGTCCCTTTGGTTCCTGTGCTCTTTAAGTGGTGGATGGATGATGTTAATTATCCTTTTAGGTACTCTTAAGTGCCTATAAAGACCCAGAGGCCGGAAAATTAGAGAAGTCCAAATGAAACAAATAAACCAATAAGATCCAAAACAACCTTGCAAATTAATTAAAATCCACAGGAAAGAAAGATATGCAAAATCTACAACCTAATGGGTTGGACAAAACATCATCGAGAGGATGCAAACTGAGGACCACGTTAGGCTCTAGTTTCTAGCCCATAGATCCATAGGCAATGGGTTCCAGCATTGGCCCAACCATTCAAAGTTGTAATCTAATATGGGTTTGGGCCTCCCAATCCACCCAAAAATGGAACACAACTTGAGATCCTCAAAACAATACAAGAAATGCAATCCATGGGACGCTAGTAAACGGGTATTTTCTTATGTACTAGATGTAACTATATGGAGTATCATAGAAAATTGGTATGACAGTTGTGCCAATGTTTTCAAATTTTTAAAGAGTTTTAAGGACAATACTAATATTGCGGCAATGATCTTATTAGTGTTATAGTTCTTGATAAATGAACTCAAAGGAAAATTATTTGCTAATCTTTTACAGACCAAGTTTTAATATTCCACATTTGTAGTCAAACAACATTTAGTTTTTATTTTGAAAGGATTAATGTTTAAAGTAGGTGATAATTGTAATTAGTTTACAAACTTAGGGGGAGGATATAAAAAGAAAAAAAAAAGAAATTTCAGAAGACGCAAATATAGGAGGAAATTTTATGTTCCCAAATATTTCACCGCAATTTTAGAGACATTTGAAAGTTGAGATGTGGCAACTGTCTACCCTCAATTGGACGTAGCTCGAGAGAACATATGTGTTATGTGTACATTAATGTCATAATCTCGATTTCTCTAACTCCATCATTTATGTATAGAAAAATGAAAGAATCTTTTTTTTTATACGCTGTTACTGTATAAAAATTTAATCATATTTAAATTAGTTAGGAGGCATCTGAATTTATAAATTACCAATCATTCTAGTGCATAAAATATATGCTAATAATTACTGAATTACAAACTCAAGTGCCTCTAAAGCAATTCGAACTACTAAAATGATTCGAATAGATTTGAAATTTTTCATCAAAATTTTCAATCCAAACAAAACCTTATGTCTTTTCTATGTCCTAGTATTGTTCTCTCAATTCATTAATTAATGATACCTCATAATCGTTGATGATATTCTTCCTAATTTTCTTCTTTAGGATTCATGATCTTGCTCATTGTTTCTCTTTCTCTTTTCTTTTCTATTGGTCTAATACTTTTCATGTATCACATAGAATGAGTTTTTGTTTGAGATTGCGTCCAAGGCATTGCATTTCTAGAATGTTTTGAAGATATTCTGTTACCTACAAATTTTCAAAACAGTTCATCTATAAAAAAAGACTGAGAATCTCAATATATCTAGGTGATAAGTATGAACATGAGAATATCCAAAATGAAGAAAGTTGGCTATGTTTGTTTTTATAGTAGTGTAGAGTAGAATTTTTCTTTTCAAAATTTCAGCTTTGGTTATAGTTGTGAGTATAGCGCTACAGCTGCTTATAGGGGTGTGCAAAGTCGAAAAATTTCGATTTCGAGACCGATTTCGAATTGAATTCGGAATTTCGAATTCGGAATTTCGGTAATTCGGAACTGAATTCGGTATTTCCGATTTCGAATTAGTCGAAATCGGGTCGAATTCGAAAATATATTTTTTGAAATCGGAATTACCGAATTCGAATTGGGAAATTCGAAATAAGAATTCGAAAACGGAAATGGTATTTCGATTTTGAATAATAATATTTATATATAATATAATAGTTTTTATTTTTTAACAATACATATATAATATATATTATATAACATAATAAGTTAATAACAATAATATATCTAACAATTGTAATTACAAAAACCCTAATCTGTTAACACTTTTGTATTCTTCCGCCGCCTCTTCCTCATTCTCTCTCACCTCCATTCCTCCGCCACCACCGCCTCCACCGCCTGACTCCGTCTCACCTTCAAGCCATCTTCACGCCCTCCTCTGCCTTCCTCCGCCATCATCGTCTCTCACCTTCAAGCCCGACAGACATCTTCACTCTTCATCTTCAAGTCATCGTCAGTCTTCATCTTCAAGGACAAATTGATGTACGCGCCCCCTTTTTGTTCCTGCATCAAACTCTTCCGCCCCCTTTTTTTCTTTTCTGGGTTGTTGGAGCTTGGAGGTGTCGACTGTGTAGGAATCACCTTAAATTAATGCGGTAGCAGCTGCTATGACAGCATTTCTTCAGATTTCCACTAATTTCTCTGCCTTAAACTTTCCGCCCTATGATTGTTTGAGGAAGCAGAGGCTTCTGGGATTGAAAGTATCGGAGCCCATCACCATTCGCAATCTTTCAAGAAGAAAGATTCGATTGGTATATAAATATTGATTGAAAACAGGAGTTTCCGAGAGGAAATTGACATTTTTGATAGTCAACAGGATTAAAGATGGGACTTTTATCGGAGAAGATGGGTGGAAGAAGAGCAAGAGGGTATTGCTTGTAAGATTCAATGGCCTTGGCAGTGGCGGTGGAGGTTATGGTTGTGGTGAGCAGAAGAGGTTTTTCCGTTTTTGAGCCAGAGAGGAAAAAAAAAAGGAAATTCGGTGAATTCGGAGTTCACCGAATTCCGAAATCAATTCGGTACGAATTTGAAATCGGAATTGACCATTTCGAAATCGAATTCGGTCGGGAAAATTCAAGTCAAAAATTTGAAAAATTCCGATTTCAAACTTCCGATTTACCGATTTCGATTTCGATGCACAGCCCTAGCTGCTTAGGTGGTGTTAGCTTTTCTTGAAGAAAAGATAGCGAATCTCTCTTTTTGCTCTACGGTGGAGGTGAGTCTCAGGCCTGCTAGTGACCTTTAAGTAAGTGGTCAAGAGTCAAGACCAATCAAAACTTAGACAAAAGAATTATTCCTTTTATCCTAGTGAATTTTGGGAAAATAGTCGTCACATCATCATTTGTACCTTTTGGGTCCTTTAGTTTTAACTTAAAGCATTTTGGTCTCTCACATTTTAGAAGCACTGCATAGTGGTCTCAAACTCCGTTGCTAGTATATTTTTCACCAGAGAATGCTGGACATATTTCTAGTAAAAAATAAAGAGTAATAGCTTTCTTTGCTTGCTCATAAATTCACAAAGAACTATAACTTTTTTGGCTTGACTTGCTTCTTTTTCCGATATGTTATTCATGTGATGTCTTTGCTTGCTTTTCAGGCCAAAACTAGATAAAAAAATGTTGTTTGGGATAGAAAACATTTTTAATAGGTAATGGACCAAAATTCTTCATTTCAAACGTAAGGGATCAATAAAGTATAAGGTAGAAATGTGAGACACTATTTATATAATTTTCCCTTGCAAAAATATCAGACTTCATTTTTTGGATGCAACACATCAAAATTGATCAACTAACTTTCCAATCTTACCCATAATAAGCAATTTCAAAGTTCAAGTTTTATATTCATTTCTTCAAACCACAATTATGTGAGGGCAAAGATAGTATAAGAAATTCTCTACGTTCCCAAAACTACATGAGTATTACTTAAAGTCTTGGGATTGCAAATGAATCGAACTCCATTGGACTATTCACCGGTTTATGCTATCAAAATTTGAATTCAACCTCGCATTCAAGCTCAAACTAAGTTCAAGTAGCTAGAGTAACTTGACGAACTTGAATTCAAGCCTGTTACATGAGACTCAAAATCTCATGGAGCCTTACTGACATTCGTTTATAGGTGTGTGTGTGTGTCTATATATATATTTGTGTGTATGTACGCATGTATAACTTTTTATATTTATTAACATAACGTGTCTATGATATCTCCTTTTTAACATTACATTAAATACTAATTTATATTACTTAAACTTAATTTAATTAGATTCAATTGAGGTCAAATTCGAACTCAGGTTTGAGTTTTAAAAGCTGAACAAGCTTAGATCAAGTATTTTACCTCGATGGTGTATTACTTAAGTTCAACTCAACTTGTTTATGTCGCTGGTCCAATTAAGTATGTATTAATTAAATATATGATGACTCTATCGCACCCATTAAAATTCTTTAACTTAACCTCGGGATTACATCTAAGCCTCCTTTTAATGCAAAAATTATGCTAACGTTAACCACTAATCATTTACTTATGAGAGAAACTTTGCAAATTCTAATACTTAAGGGAAAATTGTTTTAGTAACCTTTTTGTAACTAATTAGAACAAATTAGCAAATGAAGTTTGGAAAATGCTAGTTGCACTCTCTTAATTGTTTATGCAATTTTGCTTGATTTTTTTTTTTTTTACTTACATCAAAGGATAAAACTGTCCGTACTCTTCATTTTAATTACAATTTCATAAAATACATAGTTTAAATTCAATTAAAAGTAGTGGTCTTTGATTACTTCACATATTCAAGAGATCAAAAAAATGCCATTAATAAAGAAACGAGTACCTTTGGCATTTTCTATAAATCTCATGATTCTTTTTTTTTTAATCTCTTTCTCATCAAAGACTGCAAACAAGTTGACAAGTCTTCCAAGTTAAAAAGTTAAAAAGTTTGCTTTTTAACTAGGGATAATTTCACAAACCTCCCCTGAGATTTATGATAATTTCACTCAGTTCCCCTCAACTTTTACAAATTATACTAACCTCCTTTATCACAATAAAATGACTACAATGACCTCCCCTTAATAAATAATTCACAATATAATGAAATGAGATTAAAAAAAGAAAAAGAAATTTAATCTTTTCGACTATCTTATTTAAAAGTTACAATTAACGACGATTCTCTCTCATTTACTGTCACTTTGTTCTCATCCATCAACCCCTTCATCTTATAACTCACTCTCAAATTACCACCAATCATTGTCTATAACTGCAACCAATCACACCACACGTGATTTTTCAAACTCTACTATATATTTCTATTCCTCCTTTATTCTCTTTAGAATTGCCAAATCACAAGTTTAGTTGAGGGATTAGATTTGATGGTTGAAGTAAAATTCGATTTCATGGTCAAACTAAAAAGAGATGAAAAGACACAATAATAATGGAACAAATAATGCAATCATTGCCCAAAAGAGGAAAAGGGACTGAAATTGATAAATTTGCTAATTTATCTATCATCCATCCAAAAAACTTTTTAAGATGTTAATAAGTACATTTATATTTTTTTATGCTTGACAATTGTTGGTTGTGGTTTCGTTATGGAGATGGAGTTTCTTCTCTGTATTTAAGACGTTAACATGTTTGGAGATTTGATAGTAGGTTAGATTATTTGGTTTTGAGAAGATATGGGCATTGGGTTTGAAGCTTGAGTTGTGATTAGTAGTAAATAAAATTTTAATTTTTTTGGTAAAATTAATTTCTTGAAAATCTCTATAGTCATAATGATACATTTCCTTCTCTTAAACTTGATTAATCCTATCCATTCCTATGATAATGGAATTGCTTCGGTTTAGAATTTGGAATTAGACTATTTGCTAGACTAGTTTGTCAGTATAGTGGGTTTTGTTGAAATATAGAAGAAAACAATTGGCAAAATAATTTTTATTTTATTTTTGTACAAAAAGGGTAGTTTAGGATTTTTGAGACAAAAATAACCTTTTGGACCTATATTGTTATATATAAACAGTAAAAGCAAGGGAGGTAGGCATAATTTAATAAACTTGAGGAGAGATCTCTGTAATTGTCAGAAACCTCAGGGGAGCTTTCTGAAATTATTCCTTTTAATTAAGGGTTAATTACATTTACATCCCTTGAGCTTTGACCAAATAACGAATCGATCCCTAAGATTTGACCAAATAACAGATTCCTCCCCCTATGCTAACTTCTATCACTTATATGGAACTGAAATAGCCAAAAAATCTGAATAACCCTTACTGATTTCCATCAAATTTTAAAGACATAAAAAATAGAACATGTACTTACCATTTTAACCTTTAGGTGGGAAACACTACAAGACATCGCCTTTATCATTTCAACCGCCACAATCCCACCATCTGATTATTATACTCACTCTCACTCTTCTTGCACTCTCTCTCCAAGAAATCCTATCTTTATATGATTGCTTAATCCTTAAATCACTAAGATAAAAATCAAAAATCGCATTGTTTTGTCTACAGATCAACATACTGTGATTTCAAAATTTTTCACAACAAAGGCTATAGGATTGGAAAGCTATTGGAGGCACAAGCATTGTACTATCTTCAACTAATCATTTCTTGCATGGGTATTATACACTATTTGAACCAAAAAATGAGTTCTTCATGCACGGATCTAATATTTATGTATATTAGATCCTTCGTAGTTTGATTTCTAAGACACAAATATGCATTGAATTTAGGGGTTTTTGATTGTGATGCATCAATACAATATTTTCTTTTTGGTTGATATTGCATGTATAATAGTTATCTGGGTGGTGAACATAGTCATAAATAACAAGAAATCTAGATTTAATAGTGTAAATCTGGAGTTTTTGTGAATTTTTTTAATATATCACTTTTTTCAACATTGGCAACATACATATGTAATTTTTAGTTGTTTGAACCACAATAGGGTTGTATTAGTTGTTCATCAAAGTAGTTTTACAATTTAGGGTTTAATAGGAAATCTTTATTTATTTCCTGTTACGTCAGATTCCATGTTGATTCATATCGATAAACTTAGTTGCATGCAAATAAGTTTTTTATTATCATATTAATGCTATTTGTTAATGAAGTGCATGATTAAGTTTGTTGTTTTCATGGTTTTAGGCTGGACTTGCAAGTGTCTACGACATTACTCTTCATTGTGAAGCATGAAGTTTGAACTGAGGAATATTGATCCCGATCGATATGCTTACATTGACTTGTTATCTGATGTTTGTGAGAATGTTTTGATTTGTATTTCTAGTGGACAAAATTTCATGATTGCTTTATGTCGTGCTATTCTTGGTACTGTGGAAACAATGAACATTGAAACTGATTCGGATGTCCTGGAAATGTTTGGTTTACATAGGAGGAATGGATGTATCAATGTTTATGTTAGGCAGGTTCATGATGATGTTCAAGAGAACTTGAATGAAAATGCAGGTAATGGGAACAATATTGATGGAAATGGAAATATTATAGGGCTGAATTTCAATAATCTTAGTGCCAATATTAATAATGATAATGAAAACAACACAGGAATAGATGGTAACAATGTTGATATTGCTATGAACTTTGAAGTGGTGGGTGTTAACTTCTATGGGGGAGAGAGTAGCAATACCAAAAGAGTTGGTAAAAAGAATTCAAAACGTTGGGCAAAAGGAAAGGCTAGACTAGGGCTGCAAACGAGTCGAGTCAAGTCGAGTCGAGTTTTGGGCTAATCGAGTCGAGTCTCGATTAAATTTTACCAAACTCGAACCCGAACTCGAGCTCGAGCTCGACGAGCCGGCAATTTAAAGTTCGAGCTTGACTCGAATCGATTCGAGTCGAGCTCGAGCTCGAAAAAAAATAAAAAATAATTATTTTATTTTTTAAAAAATAAATAATATAATATTTTTTTCTTAATAAATAATAAAATATTAAGAATATATATGTAATTTTACTATTAAAATAAGAAAATAAAAAATATATATACTTAAAATAAAAATATATATGTATATACTTAAAATAAAAAATATAAAAAATATTATATATATATACTCGAACTCGCGAGTTAACGAGTTTAATATTTTGAACTCGAGTTCGAGCTCGAGTTGAGCTCGAGTTGGTCGATTTCGACTCGAGCCAGCTCGAGCTCAACTCGAGCTCCATATTGATCGAGCTTGACTCGAACGGCTCGCGTGCAGGTCAATTCGTTTGCAGCCCTAGACTAGACAAAATACTATAACTAGCAAAAGGTTGGGTAAAAGAAAGGAATTCAAATATGTTGTGAATGGTGTTGATGTAGGGATCCATGATGAAGTGGAAACTGATGATGAATTATATGTTTATAGTGACAATGATGAGATGAGTGTTGACTTAGATGATGAACTATCTGGTGGAGACTTGTCTGATTATAAGTCCAATGATGAAGTTGAAGTTGAAAATGAGTCAGACAGTGACTTGGAGGATGATTTAATGGGTGCATGCCTAAAAGTTGCTAAGTTTTCCATACCTGAGGGAGAGAAATTTAGGCTCTTAAAAGGAATGATATTTGCAAATGTTGATACTTTTAAAAGGGTGCTATATGAATATAAAATTCAGTGGGGCTTTCCTCTAATTTTTGATAGAAATGAAAAGTCTAGAGTTACGGCTCATTGTGGCAATCAAGATTGTGAGTGGAGAGTACATGCTTCTCCATTACCTGATAAGGTGACATATATGGTAAAAACATGCACACTTGATCATACTTGTGTCATGAATGAAAAAATTGTTGCTTTTGCCAAGTGGATTGCAGGAAAAATAATTGACCTATTGAGAGCAGATTCCACTATTAAACCTGATCTATTAAGGAATGAATTGACTAAGTATGGTGTTTTTCCTACTGATATGCAGCTTTATAGGGCAAAGCAAAAGGCACAGGACATTATTGATGGTAGCCATGGTGATAGTTATAGCTTGCTACCTAAGTATTGTGTCATGATTATGAATACAAATCCTGGTAGTATAGCTAAGATTTAATTTGAAATGACTTTGGGATCTGATTTTCCTTCAGTTAAAAGAATGTTTGTGGGGTAAGATGCACTGAAGAAAGGATTTTTTGGTGGCTGTCTTCCTTTCATAGGATTTGATGGATGTCACTTGAAAGGGCCGTATGGAGGGGTTTTACTTTCTGCAATTGGTCTGAATGGAAATAATGGATTGTATCCTATTGCTTATGCCATTGTTGGATTGTATCCTATTGTATCCTATTGCTTTTTGGATGTTTTTCTTTGAATAGTTAGCTACAATTCTTGATGACTTTTCAAGGGATAGGCCTTGGACTTTTATGACTGATAGGCAAAAGGTAAGATCTTAACAACTCATTCACTTAATCAATCATTAAATTTGGGCTTTTATTAATGCATTTTACTATTTTTGGTATTTGTAAGGACTGGTTGAAGCCATTAACTCTAAGATACTATGGGCAGAAAGTGTTGCAAGCATATATATAGCAATTTTAGAGGCCATTTTTCAGGCGTTATGCTTAGGCAATTACTTTGGCAAGATTTCAAGGCTTACACTGAAGTAAACTTAAGGAGGCTATGGCTAAAATTAAGGATTTAAAACCTGCAACTTATGAGTGGCTGGAGAAAATTCCTTATCACCTATGGTCTAGGCATGTTTTCCCCAAAATTTGAAAAATGATCACATCACAAACAATATTGCTGAATCTTTCAATCATTGGGTAGGAGATCTAAGAGGAAAGAATGTGTTAACGTTGCTAGATAATATTCGATCTAAGTTGATGAGTAAGCTGCTAAAAAGATTTGAAAAAGTCTGTTTTTTTAAGAATAATGTGGCTCCAAATGTGAAAAACAAACTTAATGTACTTGCTAATGAATGTAGAAAGTGCACTATACTAGTTGCAAGTGATAACGAATTCCAAGTGAAGGATTGTAATGTTTTTTACATTGTGAACATCAATGAGAGAACACGTGATTGCAAGGTATGGAACTTGTTTGGAATACCATGCAAGCATGCAATAGCTGTTCTTATTAACAAGAGAACAGATTTGGAAAGTTATTGTGATTTTAGCAAGACAAAAGAATTTTACATAAAATTGAAATCATTCATCCAATCCCAGATATAAAGTTTTTGCCACCTATTGAAGTGAATCCTTCAAAAGTACTACCACCAGTACTTAGAAGAAAAACTGGCAAGCCAAGAAAGGCCCGGAGAAGGGAGCAAGGAGAAGCGCCAGCTGTAGGCCAAGGAAAAAGATCATCCACGCTGAAGTGTAGTTTGTGTCAACAATTTGGGCACAAAAAAGAACTTGTGAAGGTGGTCCAAAGAGCGATAGAAAAGTCAATTTCAAGAGAAGAAAGGTGGAGTGCACTATTCAAACTCTGTAACATTCCTCTAATTGTTAAATGTAATCTTAAGCATTTTCTAACTTTGTTTTCATTCTTACTGAAGTTACTTGGTCAAACCAGTGGAATAGAACTTCATGTATCTACTGGAACTAGTAGACCAACATCTACTTATTGCCCCACACAAGAATCATTTACTCTATCTGCTGGAAGTAGGGCTGTCAACGGTCCGGGTCTGGACCTGGACCCGCTAATAATTGCCAGGTACGGGTAGGTATATTGTTCCGGGACCCGGACCCGGACCCGTTTCGTCTAATAAATTTACGAGTCGAATACGGAATATACCATTCCGACCCGTATTCGACCCGGACCAGTTTTTATTTAATTAATAATTAAAAAATATATACCTATCTCTATTCGTCCCACTACGTTACTTTCATTCCCAAATTTTTTCAACCCTAATACCTTCTACCCATTTCCGCCGCACTCTCCTCTTTTGCTCCCTACCCATTTCCGCCGCCTCTCGACTCTCGATTACCGCCTCTGCCTCCTGACTCCGGCGACGCTTCTGCCTTCTAGTTTGCTCTCCATCCCCAGCTGCAAAGAAATCGCTGGGTTTGGCGGTCTGGCCAGCTCCAAAGAAGCAACTCAAGCAAGCTCTGCTCTTCCGCGAGACCTCCTCTTTTGCTCTACCTCCGTGGCTCCACCAATCCGCCGTGGTGTCTGACGGTTGCAGCAAGCCCAGCTCTTCCCGGCTTCTAGTTCTACCAAGTAGCAGCCCAACTTTCTCTCTCAGTCAGTTTTTTTTTATGGGGAAAAATTGAGAAGATATGAGAAATGCTGTAGAACGAAACCTTCTTACCTCCCCAAACCAAAAAAAAAAAAACATAAGGTATGAATGGAGTAGGAAATTTCAGGTTGATGATGCGAAAAATTGTGGATATATTTGCCATTAAATTAGTTTTTGGTGAAAACTCATGCCCGGCCCTACCTGATATCATATACTTATTAGTTTTCTTCTCAGTTTTTATCATCTCTTTGACTAATTCCCATGATTCGTTGTAGTGAAATAGCTATGAGTTGATTTTACATGTTTTACAATTATTTCTCATGTTCAGCTGTATTCCTGAATTCGAACGAAAGTAGTCAGTTTGAACCTATTTTGAGGTTTATTTCAAGAATCAAATTGTAATATATGTATATATATATATATATATGAAAAGACCACTAGAATCTGGACTTTATTGCGTTAATCGGCAATGGATATAATGGGGTAGGGTCCCTAATAGACAAGGCATTCATTAGAGTAGATTGGCCACATTTTTTTTATTATGGACAAGAAAGATTCAAATTGAGGTTTTTAGTTAAAAATCAGGATTTCATGCGCTGGGTCTTGATGCATAACAAAAGAAGCAGAACTGGCTTCTGCTTGGTCAAAGCTTTGCCTTGCCAAGGGAACGAAAATTGGCAGGCTGAAAGTTTACTCTATTTATTATAGTTTCACATCCCATGACTTTGCATTGAACTTGATTCATTCCTGGAGTATTGTATACTGGACAGTTCTATCTTATACTCATGCTTAAAATTTTGCATTCTGCTATTTAGATTTTTTGCATTCACTGGAGTTTGAATGTGACATTCTAAGGAATTTGTCTTGTACCATGTTTATCTAATAAATTCTGTTATTCACTAATTGCAGGATGTCATCTTTGCCAAGTAATCCAACAAGACCAAGTAGCATAGCTGATGAGAATGAGATTGCCATTTTGGATTCGGAAGAGGAAGAGGTGAAAGAAGATGATTCATGTAAGAAACCTAGGAAAAAGAAATTAACATCTAAGGTATGGGTTGATATGGATAGAGTTAGGACTGCTACTGGTATTGTTGCCATATGTGAGCATTGTAAAAAAAAAAATGGCCGGGGATAGCTCATGCGGGACAAGCCATTTGAAAAAATACATAGATAATTGCATTGCTAGAAGACATAGAAGTGGGGGGCAGCAAGTACTTCAATTGGCCAAAAATGCTTTGGATGATAAAGTTAAAATTCAAACTTTCAAGTTTGATCAAGAGAGAAGTAGAATGGATTTGGCTAGAGCTATAATAAAACACAACTATCCTTTTAACATAGTTGAGCATGAGTACTTTGAGATTTTTCTGAATAATTTGGAGCCAAATTTTAAGCTGGTTTCTCGAAATATAGCCAGGGCAGATGTGATTAGTGTTTATAAAGAAGAAAAGGCAAAATTGTATAAGTATTTGGATGATTTTGATGGTAAGATAAGTCTCACTATTGATCTTTGGACATCATATCACCAAAATTTTGCGTATGCCTGTTTGACAACACATTATGTCAATGAATATTAGGAATTGAAAAAGAAAATTATTGCTTTTAAATCTGTTCCATATCCTCATGATGGTGAAACATTATTTAGATTTATTTCTGATATCATCTTGGAATGGAACATTGATAAGAAGCTGACCTCTGTTGTTGTTGATAATGCATCTTCAAATGATTCAATGGTTAAATGTTTGAAATCATGGCTATTGGATAAGTCATTGCTCAATTTAGGACGTGATCTTTTTCATGTTCGATGTAGTGCACATATTCTTAATTTGATTGTGCAATATGGGTTAGCTATTGTTGAAAAATTGCTTCATAAGATTCGGGAGACCATAAAGTACTTGAAAAGGTCTACTTCTTCTTCTCAAAAATTTGAGAATGCAATTAATCAATGCAAGCTGAAAAATAAAAAAAGAATGGGTATGGATGTTTAAAATAGATGGAATTCTACATTCTTGATGCTTGAGACTACTTTGCCTTTGAAGGAAGCTTTTTGTCGTTTAGAACAAATGGACAGAAATTACAAGTTAAAACCTTCAGAAAATGATTGGAAAGTGGCTGGTATTGTTCATGATTGTTTGAAAAAATTTTATGACGCCACATGTCATTTTAGTGGTTCTAATTTTCCCACAGCAAATATTTTTTTTCCCGATATATGTAATCTTCGTCTTAAGATGAGGCAATGGGAAGTTAGTGAGCATGATTTTATTCGAGAAATGGCTATTCCAATGAAAGCAAAATTTGAAAAATATTGGGAAGAATGTTTTTTGGTGCTAGCTATTGCTGTGGTGCTTGATCCTAGATTTAAGTTGGCTTTAGTAGAGTATTATTACAATGAACTTTATGGAGAAGGTGGTGAAAGATATGTGGATAGAGTTTGTAATGCTATTGCTGATTTGTTTGTTGAATATAGAGGTGACATTGCTCCTTTTTCGAGCTATGTTGATAATATAGGAGAATGGACTTCTACTTGTGAAAATATAGATGTACAAGATGATGATGATGATAAGTTGTCTGATTTTGACAAATGGTATCAACAATCATGTTCTTCTACTATTCTTGCTAGTCAAAAATCTAAATTGCAATCATACTTGGACGAGCCTGTATTTCCAAGAAAAGATGATTTTGACATACTAGGTTGGTGGAAGGCAAACAGTCCACAATTTCCTATTCTTAGCAAGATGGCTCGTGATATTCTTGCAATTCCAGCTACTATTATGGCATCGGAATCAGCATTTAGCGTTGGCAAAAGGGTAATTGATGAGACTCGTACTTCTTTGCTTCCTGATGTGGTCGAAGCTTTGATAACAACCGGAGATTGGTTACCTCTGAAAAAGAAAAGAAGCAAGTCCTTCATGTTTATGTTTCTTTTGTTGTTTTTTCTTTTTAAATCCATATTACAAGTTTGTTTGGTCGAGTTACTCTAGAAAGACTAACTACTTTCTTTCTCTTTGTTTTCTTAGAATTATTTGGAGAAGATTTGGATGATTCTTCTAAAGTTATCAAGTTAGAGTGATGTATTTGAGTAAGGCCAATTTGATTTCTTTCTTACCTGATTTTTTTTTTGTATTAATTAGTAATTAGTTTACAAATATATTGTATCCTTGTTTTCGTTGCAGAAAATTGTGAAACTTGAGAGCCATGAATACTATTGTAATCGACAGGACTTCATTTGTTGGTTGATGTATTTGATATTATTGTTTGATTGGACTTTTTAGAAATTGTAATTTGTTGGATGACATATTGGCTTTGTTGCTAATATATGACTTTGTTGGATTAGATTCAAGAAGTGGACTCAGTTTCTGAGTCCCCGCCTTTGACACTAGAAGTTTATTGTATTAATGAATAGTTTGCTACATCTTCTATTTTGTTGTTGATGTTACTTTATATTATCTTTTATTTCCTTGTTGGCTGAAATCTTTTAAGTATTTAACTCTTGAGCATTTTCGGTCCTTGAAAATGCATTCTCAGGTGAAATCTGTTGGTTGAAACCTATTTTATATTATCATTCTAGTCAATCCTTGAGCATTTTCAGGTGTTTTATTTGAACAGGTTTTGACGGACCTTTTTGCCGGGTAGACCCGGCCCGGACCCGGGACCCGTCGGATACGGGTCTGGTAGAAGTATTAAAAGGGCTGTCGGGTATTCGGGCCAAATCCGGAATTAAGGCAGTATGGCGGGTCCGGGTCCGAATTTATGAATTTCGGCCCGGACCCGACCCGTTGACAGCCCTAGCTGGAAGTACACAACCATCCATTCAAGTCTCTTAGGTGACTGCTATATTTCATGTACTCAAATTCTGATGGTACACAGCAACCAGTTGAAGGAATGTAGATTTTGCTAACTATAAACATGCATGAAATTGTAGGGATTGCTTTATCTCAAACACTTGAAGGAATGTTTGGGAGTTCAAAAGCTTAAATCTATTGGGCAAAAATCTTGCTGCTATGGTCATTGGAAAAAGATCAGCTATTGGCAACACCAATGGCAGATTGGTGTCAGGAGCTATTACTACTTCAGCACACCCAGGGCCTATCTTAACATTGCAGCAGCTTCTAAAAAAAATTCTCAATCCGAATATGCAATATTCTAGCCTTTAGGCTTTGTTTAATATGCTTTTTGTTGACATGGTTGCAAATGAAGACAATTAGGATTCCGATCTTCATTGGTACTATGAAACTTCTCAGTCTATTGTGCTTGTACTTATTAGACTTTATGGCCATGGTATAGTCTTTTTGTTCTTTTGATGGTTCATAGCACATATGTGGTGCTAATACGATAAAATTTTAATGACTTTTGATGATTCATAGCACAATGGAACGAAGTTATCATTGTTTCTCTGTTTGTTTTTACTAGCTCTTTTCAAGTACTTGGTATGGAATATTTCAGATTTTACGCGCTTAGCTGTTGTAGAGGTTCTTATATTTTCATCTCCCTCAACCAGCTCAATGAAGAATAATTATGGAGGTACTTTTCTTCACATGGTAGTGGCAGGCTTCAGAAGCCCGGGATTTCGAAGACTAGATCGATAGATAGAGCTTATGATGCAGTTGGTATGTGGCAAAGTTGCTACTAACATAGAAGATATTATCAATGTCAGGAACAATGATGGTAGAACTGCTCTCCACATGGCAGTGATCGAGAACATTCAATCTAATTTGTTGGAATTCCTTATGTCAGTACGTAGAATAAATTTAAACATCTAGGATGCTGATGGCAATACCCCATTGGATCTCGTCAAACAGTGACCCTAGTCAACATCTTCTGAGATATTAATCAAAAGGCTGATTTCTGCTGGAGGAATTTCAAATTGTCAAGACTGTAGGACAAGAAATGCACTCATTTCTCATTTGAAAATGCGGGGTATTGGAGGCAGTCTAGGAACATCATTTAGAATTCCTGATGTAGAAATATTTCTGTACACTGGAAATGAAAATGCATATGATGCTGGAACAATGGTTGTTTAGGCAGCAATTTACAATGGTTTGCGGACTTGTAATGTTCCAACAATTGTAATACAGTTGAATTTTGACACACTTGCATTATAATGTAGCAGGATTCTTTTTCAAAATTGCATGAAATGAAGTAGACTATAAGCAACTCAAAACAACCAAAAATTATACCACTGAAATAACACTAGAGGTTCTATTTCATCCAAGCACATTTACAACAAGTCTTAAACTATAGACAAAAGGCATTGCTATCAGCTAACACATATGTGCCGTGAAAATCTAGAAAGCCAATGCCACATTTTTCAACTTCTTAACATGTTTATAAGTTGGGCAAACAACTATGCAGCCAACAAGACAAGATTTATTGCTATCAATATCTTAATATGCCCAAGCCAACTCCAAATGGACCAGAGCACCGTATTTGCATCAATGTTTTGAAAATCAAACCGGACCGATCGATTCGACCGGTTGAACTGCAAACCGGCCATACCTCCAGTCCTGTTCAATTACAAAGCCAAAGAATTAATTGAATCGGTCAAAATCGGTCAAGAACCAGTAAAACCCGGTAAAAATCGGGAGGTTCAACCCGTTTTTATTAAGTATTTATTTTCTAAAATAAATATTTTAGTTTTATTCAAAATTTTTAATACTAAAATGAATAAAAAATTATTAAACCTTTGAACCAGGGTTGAACCGATCGAACCATGAACCGGGGTTGAACCGATCGAACCATGAACCGAAAGGTTTTTCGGTTCATTCTCTGGTCCGAGTTTAAAAACATTGATTTGCATAATTTCTTTGGATCATATGACTTGCTGCACCAAGGTCACCATCTGCATTTCTCCTTAGCCATGGGTTATAGTTCACTTCAGTAAATTCATCTCTTGCACCTTGTTTAAATCTTGGGTCATAGTTCACCTCATTCTCTATAACATAATTTGGCAAAACCCACTTCAACCATCCATGCACACTACAATTATAATAAAGCCTTCCGGGATTCTTTTGTATTCGAGATACCATAATTGAAGCTATTTGACTACAACCACATCTTAGGCTCTCAAATCTTAAATTTTCAATATTTGAGCTATTGCTTGATGAAGCCATTCCTGCAAAATAAGACTCATATTATAAACATGAAAAAATTAACAGCAACCAAAATCAATTAGAACAGGCATTAAAATAACAAAAAATATAATTCCTGCAAAATGTAATTAACTCTCAGAAGACTTACTAAAAGCTAATCAATTAGGCTCACTACAAACAACTAGAAAATTATTACTCATTGTTTTTACTTTGCAAATTATTTTAAAATTAAACTCTTCAATTTCATCTTATTAGACCATAAATCATAATTTTATAAACCGCAAACCTTGAGATATCCTAAATGTGGCCACAAAATAACAAAATACCAACAAAAGCAAATAAATTAAACATAAATGAAAATTAATCTAAGAATGATAATATCATAATTGAAGAACACTTAATTCCATCTTAATTAGAGACAACTCCATAAATTCCTAAATCCCAAACCCTAAACAATAACTCTTTCAATGTTAACTCATGCTAACTCGCCATTATCCTATGATTCGGAACCAGCACATACGTACCTAATGTAGCAGCAAGTTGGTTTTTACACTTGATTCTCTTCAAGCTTTGTTGTTGTTGTTGTTGTTGTTGTTTTTTTGAGGTTTTTGGTCGTTAAACTTGGGAAAAATGGGGAAGTCTTTTTTTCACTCTTTTTGTAAGATAAAGGTAGGCAAGTGCATGTGATTGGGATGTGAACGATGAAGAATTATAATCTCAATATTATATATTTTTTCTTTAATAAAAAAGGGTATTTTCAAAACTTGAACAAATCTTGATAATAGTTGGACACAATAAAGGCAATTTTGTCATCCCAAGTTTTCTTTTTCTTGATGTCAAGTAGAATCACTGACGCTTCCTAACAACAGGAGGGTAATTGTTAAATGTCTGGTTATTCAAAGGGGTGGACTGTTATTTGGTCAAATATCAGGGATCGATTCATTATTTAGTCAAACCTCAAGGGAGGTAAATGTAATTAACCCTTTAACTAACCCTCTAAAGTCACAGTTCCGATACTAACCGCTTTTGAAACGTAAAAATAAACCTCTACCTACTTTATTTTCCTTGCTAAATTACTGCTTGGTAATAATGCATTTTTACACAAAATTATGCTTAATAGCAAATAATTGTTCAATTTGTAACGGTGGCAGAAATTAGGAAGAGCCCAAAGCCCAATGCATCTCTTACAAAACCCTCTTTGAAATACTAAAAAGGTTTTAGAAGTGTATGGAAATTTGCAATAAATTGCTCCTATCTGTTCATCTATCGCTTCAATTTGTTGTGTCCTCTCTTCATTCTTTGACAGACTGATGATCAATTTTGTGTAGAGAGTGGCAGAGAATCTTTGTATCATAGTTTGATAGCAGTGATTTTTTACAATAAGGGAATAAAGATGGGTTCCTCACAAAATGTCAAGAACCCTTTAAAAAGAAGCTTTGAAAGCATGAATTCCATGGCTGGAATAACCAGTGAAGCCATGGATGTTGATAAAAATCAAAGCTTGATGCCAACGAGGTATGTGTTCCATTTTTAAGTAATTTTTTTCTTTCAAATTTTCTGCCAATTCCTGAATGTTCTTGATTGATGATCGGGCTGGTTTTGCTATGCATGCATTTGTTGTAGCTACCAAGTTGAGATTTTTGAAGTTGCAAAGAGGAGAAACACAATTGCAGTGTTGAACAGTGGTGCTGGGAAGACCATGATTGCCGTTATGATGATCAAAGAATTAGGCCAATCTCTTAGGCTTAATGGTGAAAAGAAATTAATAATTTTCTTGGCTCCTAGTGTCCGCCTTGTTCACCAGGCATGCCCCCTTCACAGTTAACCTCTTGCTGATTTATAGATGTTGCTTTCAATGATGAAGTAAGATTAAACTTCTTGTTTTTTGACTTGTTAAAACTGGGTTTATAAATTTCTGAGTTTTCCAATGCTAATTATTGCTATTCTTAATTTGTTTTAGTTTCCTGTTAAGTGCTTGTCTTGCATTCTGTGTTTTTTCTAACCAAGGACATTTTAAGTGTAATCTATGGCTTTTGGTAAAAAATTGATAATCTTCAATGTAGATATTATTCAATGGGAGCTCTTGAAAGAACTCAGTTATAAGTATTTGTTTAATTTTCTTTCTTTCTTATTGTTTGCTGTCTTTTTTTCCTCTTTTTTATTGCATTGCAGCAATATGAGGTAAT